TGAACCGCTGAACTGCAGATAACAGTCAGCTGAAGTGGCCTGCAGTACTGCACCCTAACCACTGTGCCACCTCGGTTCATTTAATAACTCAGATGCATCTGAAGGGCCAATGGCCGAGGAGGTCAAGGCTGCTACTGGTGGATTCACAGTCGGCATCTGAAGAAGCCCCTCCAGATCCAGTCCGGGGCCAAACAGCCGCTTGTCATTATTGCTAGGTGGGGGAATCGCAGCTGGCTGAGACCACTGTCTCTGGATGACATCCAGAAATAGTTTGGGTGATGGGATGACCTCTTGTTCCAGAACAGGTTCTGAAAACAGGTGCTCAGTGGAGTCCAGGACCAAGGGTATTCCACTGGGATACCCTTGCTGCCCATGTTAGCAGTGGTCCTTGCCTTGAAAAGCAAGGATTTGAACAGGGTGGGCCTGAAAAGACCTTCGGGAATGGGAACTTCTTGGGGGCCACCCTCATTATCTGATAATTCCTCATCACCTTGCTCCTCATCACCCAAGAGAGCGTCCTCACTACGGGGAAGAGGGCAAAAGGGAAGAGGGTCCCTCACAGGGCCTGGGGTGGGCTTTGAAGGTGCCCTCAAACCTCTGGATCTCCTGCTGAATTCAAAGTCAACTCCCTGTGAGATAGCCGCTGAAATAAGATCCCTGAATTCCCTAGGGAGGTTCAGGATTTGATTGTCCACCTTGTGGAGGCACCCAGCCGTGGGGGGTAAAGATAGCATCAGGTGGGGAATGCCTGGCCTCACGGGTGGAATGCCTGATGCAATGCTTAGGCCCGATGCACTCGGTGTGGAGCTAGGGCCAAGGCCTACGTCCTCAGCAGAGAGGCCCTGGACCTGGATGTTATCTGGGGACCAGTCCCTGGCCTTTCCCAAAGGGGATTCCTGAAGGGACAGGGAAGGCAATCCTTCCAGTTGCAAGGGCGGGGGGGGATTTGGGAGTCCTAGATGTTTTAGGGACTTTGGAGGCCTTTTTAGTGGAAGGCCGATGCTTATGCCAGGTATCCTTATCAGCAGCTGCCGATGATGATGTGGCCTTGGATCTGCTGGTTGTGCTCCTGGTGGTAGTCCTCCCCACTCTGCTGGGAGGGTAGTCCCTCAAGGGTGAGCTCCCAGGAGAAGTCCCTTCCCCAACGCTGGAACAGAAGCTCACTCCGCCATACCCCCCTTAAAATTCACTCGGAATTAATCAGTGGGGAAATACAGGGCAAAACTGCAAGGAACCCCACGATCCTGGCCGCTCAATAGGTGATACTCAGTCACCAGAGGAAAAGGCACTAAGAAAAAGAGATTGCCTGCAGTGATAGCACAGTGAGATCGTAACCATGCTGCTGATCTCCTCGCAAACTCGCTCGCAATGAAGCTTGTGGCAATTAAAATGGCTGGCGCTGCTCAGCGGCTCAATTGGTGCTGAAATCAACAGCTCACAAGTTTAAAGCAGCCAATATGAACAGTTGCCTAGCGGCTCTGGGCGTAGCCAGCGTGGCACGACAAAACTGCGCTCGTCAAAATAGCGGTGATAAAACCGTGTCGCTAAAGCCGCGATGTCATCACCGCTGCGACAACAGCGTGGCGACAGAAGGGCACTTTAAAACAGCGCGGTGGCGGAAAGCCGATTTAAATTAAGGTAAGGGTTAGGATTAGGTTTAGGGGTTAGGTTTAGGGGTTAAGTTTAGGGTTAGGTTTAGGGTTAGGTTTAGGGTTAGGTTTAGGGTTAGGGTTAGAGAACACACAAACCAGCATACAGAGACACTCCAGTTTAAATAGGCATTTACT